TCGGTGATTATAGGGCTAAGCAAGTATATCTATTTAATAGGATCAAATTAACTGTCAATTTTTTTGAAGACAACTTTTTAAGGGAAGTCTCAGGTCTACAGTGGAACTAAGAAGACGGTGCAGAAATGTCCTGTCTGTCCTCTGCCCCCACACGTGCATCGCCTCCCCAGGCACGACATCACTCACCAGATTGTACATTTTTATCAAGGATGCGCCACATTCACACATCAGAATCGCCCCACATCCACACCTTACCAGCTTCCCCCTTCGCGTAGCACGTCCTGTGGGCTTAGGTACGTGTATGTTGACACGGGTCCATCCCTGGAAAGTCATACAGGGCGGGTTCACTGCCCGGAGATCCTCGTGCTCCGCCATCCCTCGCCGGCCCCAGGCCCCAGCCACCAGCCACCGCTGCCCCTCTCACTGTCTCTGTGGTCTTTCTTTTTGCGGAACATCACAGAGCTGCAATCACACAGTGAGCAGCCTTTTCAGACGGGCTTCTTTCACTCAGTGACACACACCTGCGTTTCCTTCTTGTCTTTTCATGGCTTGATAGCGTATTTCTTTTCAGCATCTAATAACGCTCGGTTGTCTGGATGGACCACAGCTGTGGATCTGTTCGCTCCTGAAGGACATCTCGGTTGCTGCGAAGTGTTGCAATGACGAGTGGAGCTGCTGTGAACACCGGCGGGCAGGCTTTTGTGTGGACGCACGTTTCAGTTCCTTTGGGTAAATGCCAAGGAGCGTGACGGGTGGATCACAGTTCTGTGAGAAGCCACCAGCCTGTCTTCCCCAGTGGCTGCACCTCACGTCCCACTCGCATGGAGTTTCTTGGCCCCACGTCCTCCCGGCGTTCGGTGACGTCAGTGTCCCAGGCCCTGGTCGTTCTCACGTGCAGTGGTGCCTCGTTGTTTCCATTAACCCTGTCAGTGTTTGAAACGCAGTGACAAGTGTGGTGACCAACATATCATCACTGAATGAGGAAAGTGAGGTCACAGCTGAGAGGGTCGTGGTTACGTACGGTAATGTGTGTTAGAACCCTCCGCCGAGTAGAGGTGACGCTGATGCAGCTTACACCCCGGGAGGGCGGGGCGGAGACAGCACAACACTCAGGTCTCACGTCCTGGTATGTGCCCTCAGGGAGCCAGCGACGTTACACTGATGAACATAACTTTGTTTTTTAAATCCAAAGTTTAAAAAAATTTACGGAAAGGGGAAAGAGTGATAATTCCCCTCATCTTTTTTTTTTTAACAAAACAATAAAAATTTCTTTCATTCACTACGTGAAACTGCTACAAATTCACTTTTAATCGCGTGAGTCCTCACTGTTTCAAAGACTGATCGAAAGTTTTATCAAACCTGTTGCCTTAACCAGCTGAGCTGTATTG